AAAAACTAATTTTTATATAATCAAATATTGTTTGTTAAGTGTTTATAATGATAATAATAATATAGAAATAGTATTTATAATATTATTTAAAACAATTTGTTCATTATGATGTACATAGTTATCATTTTTTTTCATTTTTTTCCTTATTACTGCTTTTATCACATTCTTTTTGTAAAAATGGTAAAGGTATGGGTATGGGAATAGGTATTGGTATTGGTAACATAATAGGATATGGTACTAATATCATAGGTGGTGGTAGTAACGATGGTGGCAAATTCAATGGGTAAAGTGGCGAAGGTGTCGGATCAGCATTTGTTGGTATGCTGTTATTTGTCGACTGGGATTGTGTGAATGCTGGTGACCTACATATTGGTGGTGTACAGTAAACTGGCGCATGTGGGGAAAATTTTGGGTAAACAGGTGGCATAGTGTCTTCAACTGTGGGTCTCTTGCGTTTTCGGTTTTGACGGTCAAAAAGTTTATTGGATATGCGTAGCTGAGGAACTGCCGGTCCAGGCAGCGGTGGGGAATGAGGCCTCTGAGGAGACGGTGACCGGTCTGGAAGTGGCGGTGAATGACAATCGCGTAGCCATAGGTCAGGTGTAATGAGTGGCAAGTTCGGCTCTAGGGTTTTACATAGGTTTTCTGGCAGCGACGTATTCTGTAGGTGAGGGTGCAACTCTAGCTGGGCTTGAGTTTCTTTGCAAAATATGTTCATTTTATACTGGTTCAGACATTTATCACTGTGAATTCAAACACAGGGATTGCAATTATTTTACAATTACGCGGTGTTTTGAAATAAAATCAAATTAAAAACTCTTTACGTTTGTCACCTGCAGAATTGTAGCTGATGATCGCCGTCTTGGAAATCTACACAGTTTACTGTGTGTCTCAGATGTCTACACCAGTCGCATGTCTTATTTCGTTTGAAATTGGCTCTACGGTAGTGTGAGAAACATTGTTCGGAACAAAACACTTTCTCATTGTCCGATTCTGCCGTGCGGAATGTAAACGCTTTGGCTATTAACGTTTTGTCACACCATCCGCATGTAATTTGCTGTACTGGTGAGTCTATTACAAAACACAAAAATTCTAATATTAATATGTACCATCTAGTATCTAGATATTGTATTCGGTACTGGTCTAGTTGACCCCCGCTAAGAAAGTATTACCCCGCCACACACTACTCGGGTTGGTTGACGTCCGAAACTTACTAAAATGTATAAAAAAAAAGGTACGAAAAGTATTTAAAGCATTTATCATATTGTAATTTATGCATTATACATTAAGACTAAAAATTATACAAAATTCAGGTGGTCAAAATACAGTTAAATAAATTAGGTATAGGTATGAGGTATCAGTGGCGTATATACAAATTATTTTCATTTTTCATTATGGGCCAATTTATCACTAGTCAACATAGCGCGACTAACATAGCCTTAACTTTACATTTTTTAGGGAGCTGGGTGGTTATAAATACAAGTAAAAATTGCACAATTTAATTTTATAATTTTTATGTAAAATTAATTTTTTAATTCTTTTTTAAAAAATATTGACAATTTCATATACCTACATATATATATTTTAATGTTATCTTACTGTGAATTTAACACATCAAAGTCATCAAGGCAAGTCTTGACTATCTAACATTTCCTTGTTGATTCCTCAAAACGATTTTAATCAACCGGCTAAATTAATTATGGTGAAAAACTGTAAATAGTGTAGATATACATGAAATGGTTTAATTAAACTTGCAATTTCACTATGGGCTATAGGTATAATGTATATGAATAAGTAAATCGTAAAAAGTAAAAAAAAATTAAACAAAAAAATACAGTATTCATACATTATGCTATGTCATTCAGCATTTCATTAAACGGATCACATCGGTTTAATTTACATTGCCACATAAACTTTTTCAAATAAGAATGGCATTGTGTGTGTCATATGCGAGCTCCAAGCATCCACTTATATTAGGATGCACAAAGTTATATTTGTAGTTTACTGTTGAGTGATTATAAAGGCCGTTTTATATACCTAACGGCTAACGTAGGTAGGTATATAATTTTCGTACCCTTATAACTTTTATAATGATTATAGTACAACACATCACACATCACATCGACAACACGAGGTAAGTGGCGGGCATCAAATAAACCTCAGTCTCGGGAATCAACTAGACCAGTACCTTTTATTTTATTAAAAATTTAAAACTTGAAATTTTTCAAACAGTCAAGGCAGTTTTAAGAGGATGTCAGCTCACTTTTTGTTTTCTACCTCTAGCCACATAGACAAACGCATTTACGCAGAATCACTTTTCTATGTTTTTAAGTTATCTTAGTGTGATATCACCCATTACAAAAAAGATAGAAAATAATATTTTTGAGGGAATGACATATCGATTTGTCTAAAATCTAAATATTGTCTCGAAACAATTTAAACATAATTTAAATTTACAACATTTTTTTGGTTATTTTGTAAATCGGATACAAAGTCAAAAAACAATAAAATATAAAATCGATATGTCATTCCCGCAAAAATATTCTTCTCTATATTTTTTGTAATGGGTGATTTTACTCTTTGTATTGGGACTTGGGAGATTACCTACTTAAAAATAGAAAAAATGATTCTGCGTTGATGCGTTTTGTCTGTTGCACGTGGACTAGAGAGAGAAAACAAACAGTGCGCTGACATCCTCTTGAATAAAACTCATAATTCATAATAAAATAATAAGTAATAACTATAATAACTTATAACAATAGTCAATAAGCTACTGAAATTTGCAGTATTACATCACAAACATATTACGACTAATGGTTCTAGTCAGAGGAGTGCTCAGGAATTGTGTGTTGGTGTGGGGGGGGGGTAGTTTGAAATTTTTTTTAGCTGTACAAATTAAGTTTAGCACCCACGTATACCTATGTAAGTACATATGTTATATTTGTAAAGTGTCGATTGGGTGAGGGGGTGAAGCCCCCCATCCATTGAGCACGCCCATGGTCCTATAGTGTATTGATATTTTGAATTTGTGAATCCGATTTATACAAAACAGGTTACTAGGTTAGATACTATTTAATTTATTTTCATTATTATAACTTTTTTCAATTTAAATTAAGAACCTCTATCTAATGGTAGATAACTGGCTTAAGTATATAAAAGAACAATATTATAATATATGATCTAAAATGTAGGTAACATAATTTACCCCTACAAAATAACATGACGCGAATAGTGAGATTCCTATTTTAATAGTTACAATTTTTAAGGAATCCACTATAGGTAACTATGCTAAAATAGTGCCGGACAATATTTTGATTCTAAAATCTATAGGGAGAAAAATAAGGAT